AGGTAAAAGTCATTCCCCTCAATGTCCCCCCATAAAAATGCCAAACTTAAGGTGCTGTTGGCAAGCACACGGTCTCTCACTATACTCTTGGAGGTAAACTGCTTGAAGGCTGACTAAAGATTATCTGCCATCGAAAGCAAGCTGACCCTATTTTTTTCTCTCCCATCCTCAGTAGGGTCCACTCCCTTCTGATAAGGATCACAGATTGTTCCCCTGGAGAAGAGCTCAAAGAGGTCTAAGGTCAAGCCAACTCAGAGACAACCAAGTTTAGGCTGCCATCTTGACTCTAGAGCCCGCCCATCTTGTTCCTACGTGCCTTCCTGTCACGTGTGCCTCTAGCACCTCCCCTTCCTATTGCGTGAACACCCCTAGCTTTCCCTTCTGCCACTTACAGGTCTCTATTACAACCCCTTCCTCTTTCATGTGAGCTTACCGGTGGCTGGCTTGAGATTACATAAATCTGTAAGAGAATCAAGTACCGTACTGTCTCATTCTGGTTCCGGTCATCATGGAAGAGGTGAGTGAGCCCTTGCATGTTTTATTATGTCAGATGTCTCTTTAATTTACCCCTCAATTACACAACTGTCCCCTTGGGCCCATTCGATTGTGGGGAGGCTGGTCCCCCACAGGGGTTTACACAAGAGGTCCCCGTGAGTTAGAGCTAGCTCAACAGTAGGTAACCATTAGCTGCAGGCAAGCTGGGTGGATGGATGCTGGGCATTTGAGGTTTGAGCTATGCAGAGTTGGGGGCGGTCATCTGAGGGGTTCCCATCCCATCTCGCCCCCAGAGGCCTTGCTAATAGAAAGTCGGGGGGTGGGGGCACCGGACCACCTCCATTTCCCTCTGGATCGGAGCCTCCCGCCCTTGCCCAGAAGCTAGAACCTCAGCATGAAAACCAAAATAGCACTATTTTATTCCAAACGTGACAAGTCAACTGTCCAGACAGTTCTGGTCCCCACCCCACCCCACAAACCATCCAGAGGAGGAGGGGGCCCTAAGCCTCCAGCCTTTAGACAAATACCAGTGTTTCCCCCCACCTCCCACCCCGTGTTTTTCCCTCCCCATCACTTGTCTCTGTCTTGCTTCCTCTTCTCCGTTGAGGTAGAATTAACTCAATAGCAGTGAGCTTGCCTCCTCCCTCCCTCCCTCCTTCTCCCCTCTCCATTTCAGCCCAGTCTCTCCTCCATTTTTCCCCCCTCTTCTCTCCTTATTCTATTTTCTCCCGTCTTTTGCCCTTTGCCCCCTTTACACCTTAAATCAGTCCCTGACTCTCCCCAAATCCTGTGTCCTTTACTAAACACACAGACACACACAACCTTACCTTGGCTCTTTCTGCCTCCTTTTGCCTGGCTGGCCCCGTCTATACCTGTCACCCAACATTTCCTCGCTCGATGGAAGCCACCAGAATCCACCCTGGCCTGTACAGTCCCCCAAAGCTGTAGCATCAGGACCTCCTCAGCCGATGTCAGCTTGCCCTCTGATCCAGAGAGACAAGGTGCCAAAGAAGAGATCCTTGGTTGCCCCAGGAGGTGGCCAGAAGGATTGGCGTGGCTTCCTTGGCCTCCACCGTGTTTAATCTTTGGGATCGAAGCCTGACCTGTTGCCCTCACCTCTGAGGTGTGGGCCCGGGCCTGAGGGGTCAGGGCTCCGGGGCTCGCCCCCAGCAATCCCTGAGCAGGTCCACGTGGAATAAGGCTGCCCCGGTGAGGAGGCGTGCAGCAAAGAGGTGGCGGCAGGGCAGATGCCTGGCGGCATGGATGGAGCAAGTGCAGTGGGTCAGGGCTCTGTCCAGGTGGAAGTCTGAGGTGCCATCCTTGAGCGCAAAGCCGGTTCCCGTCCAGTGGAAACCCCGGGTCCCATGCTGCCTGGCGAAGGCCAGCTCCTCAGCCACCAGGTCGGCCAGCTCTGGCCCACAGGCTGCTCGGAACTTGGCCAAGGGCTCCCAGTCCGGGCCCTCTTCTCTTGAGGGGCCAAGTGGCCTCTTTGATTTCCGTGGGTTGTCTCTTTCCCCTCCATCCGGCAGGTATCCGTTCCTTGCCGTAGCCCATTCTGGTTCCCCCTGGAACACAGCCCCTACAGGAGTGTTGCACGGGACTCCGTTCCCCAGCCCTTGTCGCCTTTCTGCTGGGTCCCTCCACCCCACCCCTCCTCCCATGCCACTCTTGGGATCCACAGATCGGGCTAGGCCAGCACGGCCATTCTCCCGGCCTGGAAACGCCGTGTCCCCCAGCTGAACCAGAACAATGTCCTCCAGGCCCTTGCTGACTCTCGGGGGCACTCCCCTCTCGACTCCAACCTCGGACCCTCTCCCCTGCCCCCACCGGGGCCCCACGGCGTCTCCATTCTCATGCACCAGCTCCTGAAGCCTTTCCAAATGGTCGCCCCTCCAGCTTTGGGCCTCCAGCCCCCTGGCCTTCTCCTCTGCCACCCGCGGCCCGGGCCGGTCTTTGGTCTTCGGACTGCTGGCCCTTTCATTTTGCCACTGGGCCCCCCTCCAGGTGTTGCCCTGTAGACTCCAGGGCCCCTCATACTCACGCGGGGTCCCCCTGGCATCTGTGGTCTCCAGCGCCCTGGTCTTCCATTCCTCCTGCTGGGCCATCCTCCGGGAATACCCTTCCAGCCCACGTGGCCCCTGCTCCTCCGGCTGGGCGCCCCTCCAGAAGTCACCTCCCAGTCCCCAGTCTTTCTCGCCCTCCACAGGGGCCCCTCTCCAGGATCTGATATCAGACCCTCTCCCGCATTCGTTCTCCCGCGGGGGGATGCTCGCGCCCAGGGCTCTTGCCTTGGGGTTCTCGAACGGCAGCCCCCTCCAGTCTCTGGGTTGCCACTCCTGCCCCTTCTCACTTCCTAACGGCGCCCCTCTCCACCCTCGAGTCTCCAGCCCTCTCACCCACTCCTTCTCCAACGAGGTCCCTTTCCAAAGACTTCCATCGTGCCGCGCCCCAACCGAGTCGCCCGTCCCCAGGTCCCGCATCCTCTCTGGTTGCACCAGGGGTCCGGGCCCCGGCTCGCCTTCCAGCCCCGAGCCTCCGCCGTCGGGCACCTCGGGCGCCGCCTCCCCGGCGCCGTCCGTCCACTGCATGGCCACCAGGTCGCGGAGGCACTGGGCCACGCCGCGGGACGGGCT